CCCCGCCGCGCCGGCCCCGCCCCTTCCCCTCAGCGCGCACGCGCAGACCCCGCCCCTCGCTAAACCCCGCCCCTTTTCCCGCGCCGAGCGCTCCTCCCACACCCATTTTGCGCTGCGCGCATGCGCACAACCCTAATTATGCAAGCCACGCCCTTTACTTGGCGTTCCGCATCTCATTATGCAAGCCACGCCTATTCCCCGTCCTAATTGCTCGCACGCATGCGCGCTGCGCGTTATGCAAATCGCGCCCCGTCGCTATTATTCAAGCCGCGCCCCCAAACTCGGCGCGCGCCTCATTATGCAAACCACGCCCTCATATTCAAATTAGGCGGCAACGCGCGTCTCATTATGCAAGCCACGCCCCCCCGCTGCGCACGCGCCTTTCCCGTCAAGCCACGCCCACTTCCGGTCCAGGCCCTGAGGCGGCTCCGTCGCTTTTATTTGAGGGGGGGGGGAGGGGGGGAAAAAAACCGGGAAAAAACGGGAAAAAACGGGAAAAAACCGGGAAAAAACCGGGAAATTCGGGATCGGGAAGGGCGGGAGGAGCGGGACAAGGCGGGTTCAGGCCCCGTAGACGCTCTCGTCGCTGTAGGCGATGTAAAGGAAGAAATCCTCCTCGTGGTGTTCCTGAGGGGGAGGAAAGGAGGAGGAAAAAAAGCGGGAATTGAAGGGTTAAAATCCGGGAATATCAATCCCGGTTTTTACCTTTGGCTCGTCCCCCACTGGATTTGGGTTCGGGATTGAGAAATCCCAAAAATTCCCGAGTTTTTCCCCTCAGGGATCGCGCCGGAATTTTTGGGTTTCTCCCCCCCACCAAAAAATTCCCAAAATATTTCAGGTTTTTTTTCCCGGGATTTTGAGGATTTTTTCCCCTCCCAATCCCAAATTTCCCACTCCAAATCCCAAATTTCTCCCCTCATCCCAAATTTTCCCCCTCCCAAGGATTTTTGGGAACCCCCCAATCCCAAATTTCCCTTTTTTCCATCCCAAATTTCCCTTTTCCATCCCAAATTTCCCCTTTTCCATCCCAAATTTCCCTTTTTCCATCCCAAATTTCCCCTTTTCCATCCCAAATTTCCCTTTTCCATCCCAAATTTCCCTTTTTTCCATCCCAAATTTCCAATTTTTTTGGGGACTTTTTTGCGCTTTTTTCCCCCATTTTTTTCTGGGATATTCCCGATTTTTTCCTGGAATGTTTTTGAGGTGTTTTGGGTGTTTTCAGGGTGTTTTCGGGGTGTTTTTGGGGTGTTTTTGGGGTGTTTTCGGGTGTTTTTGGGGTGTTTTGGGTGTTTTTGGGGTGTTTTTGGGGTGTTTTGGGGTGTTTTTGGGGTGTTTTCGGGTGTTTTTGGGGTGTTTTGGGTGTTTTTGGGGGGTTTTTGGGGTGTTTTGGGGGGTTTTTGGGGTGTTTTCGGGTGTTTTTGGG